TAGGATTGCAGCAGTTAGGACTTCTGACTAGAGAAGGCCGAGTTTTAACAACTTTTCTGTTAAGAGGCTGGCTGTGAAAGAAAAGCACACTCCACCTTGTGTCCTACATACTGGAACTTTGTTTTGCAAATGTTTTCTGTTTCCATGGCAACCTCTAGATCTGTCTGAATAAAAAGGAAACTAGGAACTTCTTTTTTTCTTTCTTTTTCTTTTCTTTTTTCTTTTTTTCTTTAAAAAATGATTAGTGTGTTCTTTTTATTATGGGAAGCTCGTTCTATGATGACAAATTACATTTTGACAGCGAGCTAGTGATCTAAGACAGACGTGTCGGGAGACTGAATAATAAGGAATTTTCAGGAACTGACAGACTTCATTTATAGTTTTATGTAGACGTGGTCGCTTTCAACTGAATTCAAAAGATAAATGGAAGTGCTAAATACTTGGAATACTTTTCAGATAATTCAGAAGTACATCCATGCTTGGAATAGCTGAGTGATGGCGTTGTGATGACATGGCATGAAGAGACATATGCCTCTGAATCACAGGGATGTGGGCAGAGCCTGCCCGCCACTCACTAAGCTGTGTAAGCAAGACAAAAAACCCCATTCAACCTCAGGTTCCCCCAACACATTAAGAGCTGGAAATAGTGCATGGGTAGGTGGCTGGTGAGTAAGGGAGCTGGCTGCCAACACTGGCAACCTGAGTTTGATTCCCAGGACCCACACGGTGTCCTCTGGCCTTCATATGTATGTTTTAGCATGTGCACACACATTTACAAATACACACACATAAATGAATAAATAAATAATGTAAAAATTTTAAGAATGTTTGTAGAGTGTCTACTATAATGCAAAATCTACTGAACAGCACGACCATGACCATTGATTTTTATCAAAGGGAAAAAACAAAAGCAAACATGGAAAAATGATCACATCAAACAATATTAATGCAGGGACACACTAGGATTGGGTTGCTTCAGGTTTTAGACCTTTATGAAGTAATTGGTAGATAAATCCCCCAGTGGACCATAGCAAAGACTTGGCATTTGTGAGAAAGAAAACATGGCAGGGACATTTCACAAAGGGCATTCCTTAAAACTTTTCAAAATTCTATATGGAGTCAACTAAAAAAATTGTCCATAGGTGTGTGAATTTACTTCTGGATCTTTGATTCCATTCCATTGATGAATCTGTCTGTTTTTATGCCAATGCCACACTTTCTTTTTATTATTATTGCTCTATAGTACAGTTTGAAATCAGGGATGGTGATACCGCCAAAATTCCTTTATTGTGCAGATAATCATATCTTTTTTAAACATCTCAGTTTATTTATATGATGGATTAATTGATAGATTTTCATATGTCGAACCATTTCTAGGATGACGCTTACTTGATCATGGTGGATGATATTTTTGATGTGTTCTTGGATTCGGTTTCTAGGTATTTTATTGAGTATTTTTACATCAGTGTTCACAAGGGAATGTGTAGCGGCCCAAAGCTGACATCAAGTGCATTCTTCAATCACGCTCCCCTTCATTTGCTAAACCCCTGCTTGGCAAGTCCTCCAATTCCAGCTACTGAAGCTAGACAGATTGCTCTGGGGTCCTGTCTCCACCTCCTCAGAGCTGGGGTTACAGCTTCATACCTGTCCAGCTTTTACATCAGGTCTTGGGATCAAATTCCATTCTTCACACTTGCATGTCAAGTGCTTTATCTACTGATTTAACTCCCCAGCCCCACAGTGAGCTACACTGAAGATAGAACAATGGCAAGAGCTAAGACAGGGCCTCTAGTCCGGAGTCAACCTTGAGCACAGTCAGCATGGGCCTGTGCCACCTCCTCTGCAGCTGTCGCTCTGCTCTCAGCCACTCACCCCCTCTGCAGCGCTTACTCTTCTTCCCTCAGCCATTCACCTCCTCCGCAGCCACTCACCACTGCTTCTCCTTTCCATAGAGGCCTGTGTGCATGCTGTATCTCCTGGCTTGCTGTTATTAAACCCATGTACAGAGATATGCACAGTCATCCTAAGTCTTTCCTCGTTTACCAGCACCAATTTTTAATCCGCCTTTAGTCCTTAGGCTTCAATTATCAAAAACAGTAAGAATGTCCCAGATGACCTCATGGGCAAAACATTAAAGTACTAAATACAAACATGAAACAGAAAACAGAAAAAAAAAAAAAAAAACCACTCTGAAATGAAAACCTTTGTGAACTTTCATCCAGTTAAAAAAATCAAATCAAAAGTCCTTAAGTATATACGGCATATGTCACATAAATTCATTCTATATGAGGGTGTCAGTGTACTAACTATTTAGTTAGAAAATAAGTGGTTGTGGAGATGGCTCAGCGGGGTGTGGTGGTTTGAATGAAAATGGCTCATATGTGAATGCTTAGTCACCAGCTGGTGGAACTGTTTGTGAAGGATTTGGAGGTGTAGTCTTGGAGGTGTGCCACTGGGCTCTGAGGTTCCAAAAGCCCATGTCATTCTGATTTAACTCTCTTTTTCTCTGCCCATGATTGTTGTCTCAAGATGCGAGCACTCAGCTAACTGCTCTGGCCTCATGCCTACCTTCCCGCTGCCATGCTCCCAACCACGATGATCATGGACTCTAACCCTCCGAAACCAGGGGACCCAAATGAAATGCTTTCTTTTAGAAGCTGCCTTGGTGCTTTGCCACTGTAATACCAGGGTAATGGGTAACGTGCTTGTCTCACAAGTGTGAGGAGCAAAGTTCGGACCCCTGATGCCCTAAAAGCTGTTGGGCAGTAATAGACAGCCCGCCAAAAGTCGGAGCACTCAGAAGGTACAGCTAGGTATCTCTGAACCAAGACAGCTATCCAAATTGGCTAAATCACGGAGCTCTGGGTTTGGGGTAAAAGATCTTGCCTCAAGGTATAAAGTGGAGAATGTGTTAGCATATAGGCAGCCGGCATCTAGGTTGCTTGCTCAGCAATCTATGATGTTATCACATGCAGCCGCCATGGAGGTGCGCAGATAAAGACAGCCTGCCAACCCAAGCACACTCTCTCTGACTTTCTCTCTTCTCTTCTCTGTGCATCGGTTTCTCTCCCCCTCTCCAACTTTTCTCTCCTGAGGTGCCTCCCTCCATCTTTCTTTCTCTCTTCTTCTATGTTCTTCCATTGTCTCTATCTCTCTCTCCCTCTCCCGAACCCTAGACAATAAATGTCTGCTTATCAGAACTGTCGACTGTGTGTGGCATTTTAAGATATATTATTACAGAATGTCTTGAGGAAGACACCTACTATCAGCCTCACATATAAGCACGCATGCATGTGTACCACACACACACAAACACACACACACAAACATTAGTTAAAAAAAATCAACGAAACTCAAATAATAAGATGTGAAAAGCACGCTGCTTTCAGGGTCTGAATTTAGGTTTATCACTTTCATGTCTAAGGAGAGTGCATTCCAGAGTGTGGACACCCAGCAGAAAACAGTCATTCAACACAGACGACCTATCTTCCTACCTTCACTCGCTATCAGCAACAATATGAAATATGGAAGTCCAAGAGCATGATTATAGGAAAGTGTCAGGGCTGGGGAGATGGCTCGGTGACTGAAAGCACTGGTTGATTTAATTGCCAGCAACCACATGGCTCACGACCATCTGTAACTCCAGGGGGTCTTTCCTGGGCATCAGCTAAGCACAAGGTGCATAGTCATATATACAGACAAAAGAGCCATAAAATAATTCTCTATAACAATTAGAAAGAAAGTTATAATGATAATTCTAAGTGCCCATAAGACACCTGTTCTCACACCAACTGCACCACCATCACGACCACCATTGTCACTATCACCACCACCACCACCACCGCCATCATTAATACTCCATCCACTCCTTCGAGTTCAGTGTGACTGGACAGAGCCTCATGACCTGCCAGCCCTGGTCAGTAACTGGTCAGGGTCTGTGTCAAACCTGGTTGCTATCTAGGGGTCTCGAGACAAAACAAAGGAACCCAGTTCAATCTATGTATAAGTGTGTCCTACAGACGGCCCTGGAATATACGACGCATAACCCCCTGTGTTCCATGGTATTTTCTATGTGTCTTACAAACATTAACTCACCAATTAAATGAAAATACACAGGGACATAATCACATGCCACTAGGGTGTGCCAATCTGAAGGTAGGAGGAATGAACTGTGCCTTATACATTTCAATTTCAAAAATTATGCATCTTATAATTAAGATGCTATATAGGTTGTGGCTGATTAGATGTAAAACAATCTGTATTAAATTGAAAAACAGAAAAGTGAAACAACAGACGATGTGGCAAAGTAGAAAGCAGTGGGCTGGGAACAATGAGGTATAGGTGTCTGTCCTTGCCCTCTGAATTTGACCTTGAACTGACTGCTTTTCTTGTATGGAGGAGGAGAGATCCACCATGTGAAAGGGAAACAAATATCTAAATGTAATATATTTTCCAGCTTCCTGTCTTTATAGCAAAATAAAGAATTGATACTTTAAGAGCAGGGGTGGGGGAGGGGCTGACAAAAAGCAACTAAGTGGCAGGAAGGGTTTGTTTTAGCTCAGAAGAACAAGTTAGAGTCCATCCTTGCAGGAAAGCCATGGTGGATGGAGCTTGAGACAGCTGGTCACATCACACCCATGCTCAGGAACGAACAAGGAAAAAACATATGTACATAGGCTCCTGCTTCCCAGTTCTCAGCCTAGAGAATGGTGTCACAGTGGGCTGGGACTTCCCCTGCTGGCAGGACCATCAGCAAACCCAAAGTAGACCACTTCCTCATTAGCACTCTCTTCACAAGTGAGTCTAGGCTGTGTCAAGTTGACAATTAAAGTTAACCAGCACAGTAGGTGACCCAGGAGAAGATCTCCCCATTTCTCTGGTCCTAGCTCTCCTAGTCAGCAGCATGAGCTTTGGACAAGATCATGATGAAGGTCTTTTCGGCCAAGTTCTATCATGTCTCATAATCTTGGAAGAGTGGCTTGAGGAGAGGTGGTTGTTACCTCAGCAATCATCCTGTTGGTGTCCCCCAGGAAGAGCAGGTTCAAAGCTTCCTCCTCGTTTGTTGCCTGATGAAGAGACAGGTTTTTCAGGTGGATGTTCTGATCAGGGTCCTCAAATATTGTCACTTTCCTGTGGGGGGAGAGGGAAAGCGAGAGCACGAGGTGCTGCTGAGAAGAATTAGAAGTGTTGCAACAGGCATATATTTAGAAAATGTCTATCTAGTAGGATGTGCCGAACAAAACAAAAGCAACACTAGGCACCACTAGATTAGCACCCAACACTGACCCCCACTGGATAATGCTGGGTTAGGGTTAGGGTTAGGGTTAGGGTTAGGGTTAGGGTTAGGGTTAGGCCCTGAGGATGGGGAAAAAAATCTCAACCACCCAACTGAGAGCAGCCTGTCACTCCAATCTCCGGGTCGTTAAATCTTAAAGCACATGTTCTATTGTGTAAAAAAGCAACCCGTTAGCTTTCTACCTCTGTAGAGCGAAATAAAGTAACACCATTTTTGTTGTTGTTATTATTCTAGTTCAGTTTCTTAAGTGGGCAATAGGCAGAGCTTGTCATTTGGTGTCTTAGCATGCTTGATGTGCATGACACCCCAAGGTTTAATCAGCATCCACATGATGAAAGCCAGGACACCACTTGTCCCTCTCTGAGAGATGTCACGTTTGGTTTTTTTTTTTTTTTTTTTTTTTTTTTCTCATCAAGGTGAGAAAAACATTGTTAAGAAGTTTGTGATGAAGACTGGCTTGTCCATCAAATCCATTTCTTGGTCTTATTTCCTTTATGACAAGCCTCTCCTTCCATGACGTCTCCCGCCAGAGCCCTAGCTGTGGTATCACATCTACCATGACAACTACTTTAGGGGTGTCCCAGAGCCACCTGTTTCCTCCCAACCCTGATTCCAGAGATGGTCACTTAAAATTCTCTCCTGGTCCTTTTACAGACATTCTGCAATGAACAAAATTTGGAAAACTTCCTCTAATTCTGCTCCAAGACCTGCCAGTTGGAGTCTTAGAGCAACCAGAGAGAGCTCCTTTCCTTTTGTATCACACACAAATTTTTACAAAGACCATCTCTGGGAGGGTTTCACTCTTTCCAAATTTTATAATTCATGGTGTTGAGCAAAGGCCAGTGCCATGACGAAGCAAATGGACACTCCATTTCCTCATCATTAGAGCTTATTTATTGGTGGCAGGGGCTGATAAAGACAGCCCACGTAGGGCTGAGCACTAAAGTCTTTTACTCTCAGCCCTTGGACCAGTTTACATCTTTGCATCGGCTGCTGCCCACTGCGAAAATAGCTTCTCTGACCAAAGCTGAGAGCAGTCCAGGTCCATGGGTATCAACATACATATTTGAAAGGCAATTTCTTTCACAGAATGACCATTTAGCAAATTAACAATATCAGGTTCTACCCTAGAGACCAGGACCTTCCCGGGAATATAGGCATGGATCTCCCTTCTGAGGAACAGGCCTCAAGTACAACCACAAAGTGGTTAGCCAGCCATAACTGTCATGCCGCCATTGCTCCAGTGAGTGCATCTCTTCTTAGCTGGTGGGTTGGCATCACATCATGCAGGGTTCAACCCTGACTAAGACCATTGAAGCCTTTTCTACCACAATAGCCTGCACAGCATCTTTAGACAGCAGGAAGGAAGTTTCCTAGTCAGCTTGAGACTGGCTTCTCTAGGTTGTGCACGAAAAATGTGTGATGGCGTCAGCAACAGGGTCTTCACATCCAAGAACACATACACAACACTAATTAGACTTAGTGGGCTATAAAAAAGAAAAGAAGGAGGAGGAGGAGGAAGAAGAGGAGGAGGAGTGAAGTTTGGAGGGCGACACGAGGAAAAGATGGAGGAGTTGGAGGAAGAAAATCTGGGATGTAACTTACATTCTATAGATGTATGAAATTCTCAAGAAGAAAGAAAAGTTATTTTAAAAATAAAATATGTGACAAAGGAAAAACATATTTAGGATACAGTTACCTTTTAAATGAAGTTTTTTTTTCAAATACCATAATTAAATTTTTTTTTCCATTTTTTCAAGGAAGCTTCTGGCCTCTTCCCATGTAATTTGTGGGCGCTGAAAACACTAGCTGCAGGAAGGAAATGTGACTTGCCCATCTGCAGGCGGTGAGTCCCTGGAGGTGCTCCTCTCCTGCCGCTGACTCCTTCTCAGCCCTTTCAACAATGCCCACAAAGACGGAAAACACCCCCTTCCCTTAGCGCAAACAAGTGCACTTTGTCATTTTTTTTTTTCAGTAAGACTCATGAGCGAGTGTATTAACAATGCTCAGAAAGTCTGAAGGGTCTCTTAATTGGCATGGATGAGCTGTGTTCTATTTTGAGGAGATCTCCTCATGCCTTAGATTTTGCCTCTGCCTGGCTTAAGACACTTTGACTAAATTCAGCTTCCAGGGACACAGAAGACAGGATTCTCCCTGAACTCCAGATTTTACCAATGAAGGTGCAAGGCATTAAGCAATATTCAAAGCCGAATGCAGAAGATAAGTGATAAGATGGTGAAATATTAAAAGGGAAAGGGGAAGAATTCAAGCACTCAGCATGATGTAAAAGAATCCTCCATCTGTAAGGTGCTTGCCTAAAAACAATGAAGGATGAACAAAGAGATGCCAGAAGGGGGAACACAGAGAAAGGGAGGGGCAATAAGAACTCACCTTTGCCCTTGCCACAACCATAATTCTAGCCCTAACAATAGCCCTGCATAACCAGGGCATGAATCCTAAACCTAGCCCTAAAGCAAACCCTAACCCTTGCCTTAGCCCTAAACCTAGCACTCACCAGAGCTCTGACTGAATTCCAGGCGTAGTCCTAACTCTAAGACTAACCCTATCCCTAAACCCACTCTGTCGGTAACCATGAGGAGCAGGGTCACGCCCCCTGAGCGTCACCTTTCCCTTGGGCATCTGCACTATCTCACTGAACCCAGCAATACTCAAAAGGGTTTCTGATTTGATTGGTCCTGGTGCTATCACTGTGTCAGATTTTGTCAAGGCTCTTTGGTGGCTGAACTACTGATGCCAAACCCTTGAGGGTGGTGCACCTCAAGGCTGATTCTGGACCCCTAGTTCCCAGGCACTTCCATCTTGTGCCCCAGGGGCAAAGTTACTGACCTCTGACTGTGGCTGAGGACAGGGACAAGCCACACCCTTTGCATCGGCAAAGCAACTGAATTGTTAAAGAGTCCAACCATCTGAGACAGGCAAGCATGGAATAATGAGCGTTGGGACCCCCTTAGTTTTAGGTTATGCACACCCCTTCTTACAATAATGCATATGCAGCCTCGCTCCTTCACCTGCACAGGCTGTGCTCAGAAACCCTCCCCCAGACAATGCGCTGGAGTCGAGCTACATGTATTCCCATCTCTGAACAGTGGTATAAGTTTCCCCATCACTGGTAATCATCAAATTTAGCAAGTGTCTATTCAAATGTATTAAAGTGTATCTGGGTTTTAAGAATGAGTGGGCCGACCTTGCCTGACTGGTTTTGGGTGTGGGTGGAGAAAAAAAAAAAAAGGCCAAACTGTGTCCAGTCACCTTTTGTAAAGAATCCTCTGTTTGCTAATCCAGTATATAATAGGGTGTACATATGATTAAAACTGGATACATCATGGGAAAGGATGTATGCAGTAGAGAAAAATGATTATATAACCTAACATGTCAATCAAAATAAGGACCCACCTTCACCACATTCCTAGGAACCAGCTCGTCCCTCCCTTGAACCTCAGAAAGGGAAGCCCTGAACAATAATTAGTGCCCTTGAGTAGTCTCACTCATGTGGCCTGCTGCCAATTTTGACAGAGTATAGCCCTGTGACTTTCACTATTCCTTGCTAAGAACCAAAACCCCTGCATCTACTGCAAATCTGAGTGAGCCATAATTTTCAATTCTTTGGGTAAAGGGCCGAGAACTTGAAATGCCTGGCCCAGACCCTGACCACCAGTAATGCATTCTTCCATAGGAAGCTTCTTAGGGTCCTGTGGCCAGAGGGTAAAGCAGGCCACGTGACTTTAGCCTCGGCGATAACTGTGACTCATCAGGGACTGCACATTCAGCAAAGCATCTGGAGGGCTTACTTCATCACTAACTGAAAAGTAAAAAGTTCTGAGAGGAAGTCCCATCGTGCCTGTGTTCTCTGCCATTGTGTCAGTTAAGCAGAAAATACGGCAATCACACAGGGATTGCTGATTTACGGTTGCATTCGGGTGGGACACTGACAGCATAAGGAGTAAAGGGTTAGCTCCTTGTTGCCACCATTGCTGTCTGACTTCACTTAGATTCTTCACAGCCTTTCGTCTCTGTTGTGGCTACTCTGGACCAATTAGATACATACATTACTGCCAGGCGCTTAGCTGGCTTTGCCACTTAGGTCAAGATCAAATTTGCATCTCCCTGGGTTTTCCTTCATGGTGGTTTCAGCAGTGTGTTGTAACTTTGCTATCTTTATTTCTCAGAATATGTTTTGATGCTGTGTTTGTTCATATGTTCTGACTTCTTGTCTGTGGAGATTTTGGAAGGCAGATACAGGTGCTGACTAATGTTGAAACTCATGGATCTCTCTTGGCCAGCTAAGCACTCATTTATGGGCAGGCTCCACCTCTGGCATCCAGTCGTACTTATTTATTTATTTGTCTGCTTCATTTTTCTGAGTCTCACTATGCAGCCCTTGTTCACTTGAAACTTGCTATGTAGACCAGGCTGGCCTTGAACTCAGAGATTTACCTGTGCATGCCTCCAGTGGAGGGATTAAGGGCATGGGCCACAATGCCCAGCTTCTTGTGCAGTCTTGAGTCTCTCTCTCTCTTCCTCACCTTCTTCCTTCCTTTGCTCTCTTCCCTTTCCTCCCATTCCTTCTCCTTCTCTCCCTCCCTCCCTCCTTCCTTTTCTCTCTCTTCCTCACTCTCATTCCTTCCAGTTAGGGTCTCTTGTTATTTCTTCACCAAGTTTCTCCTGTTTTGTTTTTTTCCCTCCTTGGGCACGCAGCTTCAGAGCAGGACTGTTGGACTGTCCTTCACTGCCTGGCCTGCTCTTACTCACAGTCTCCTCTGAGCATTTACAGCCAGCTTGTCAGCTCCACCCCCTCTCAGGCTCTGGAAACCCT